TATTTATTTATTTATTTATTTATTTATTTATTTTTTTGAGGTGGAGTCTCGCTCTGTCGGCCAGGCTGGAGTGCAATGGCTCAATCTCAGCTCGCCGCAACCTCTGCCTTCCGGGTTCAAGTGATTCTCATGCCTTAGCCTCCTGAGTAGCTGGGATTACAGGTGTGTGCCACCACGCCCAGCTAATTTTTGTATTTTTAGTAGAGACAGAATTTCACCATGTTGGCCAGGCTGGTCCCAAACTCCTGGCCCAAAGTGATCTGCCCACCTTGACCTCCCAAAGTGCTGGAATTACAAACACAAGCCACTGCTCCTAGCCACCACTTTCATGTTTTTCAAAACGTAACTTAATTCAGACAGTCTACTAATTGTATTTAGAATGTACCTTAATTATCTTCCTGTACATTATTTCTTTTAAAAAAGTTATATTGAATTTTGGAGACATATACACACATTTTTCCCCATATAAATACCAACCAGCAAGCACTGAAGTGAAGTTACATATGTTCCGTTAAGGAGTAGTTGTGCAGGGAGAATGTTAACCGGGGTGGAGTTCTGCGGGTAGACCTGAACTTTGTTTCTCTGAGCACAGGAGGGAGTATGATTCTCTAGTCCTGTTGCAGCTTGAAGGACTTTGGAGAATGTCTCATTCTTTTTCAGTTCACAGGGAAAAGACAAAGAGGCCTGGAGATTTCTCCAGGGTCATACGGTGCCCATGGTAGAGCCGAGCTGGGAACCCAGGCTCCTAGCATCCAGATGGGCAGCAGCTCTGGGCTTTACACCAGGATCTCAGGCTGGCAAATTGGAGTGGCCTATGGAAATACAGGCCACCAGACAGGTTTGGTGGATCAGTCACTTTGCCATGAGCAAAGCAACCTCCAAACATTAAGTAACTAATGTATTGTGTTGTCCCTGCTAGTGGAAGGTTAGTGCACTCTTGGTAAACACACCTAGTGGCTATTTACAGAACTCAGTCTGGGGACCAGACTGGGCCTTTCAACACAGTCAAGTCAGGATGTGGGAGCCAAGCAGAGAGTCTGGGAGGTGGGGCCCAGTGGTCTGCAAAGCCTGTCTGTGCACCTGCTGCTGGGGATGGGGAGGTCAGGGCAGTCCTGGCTTCCAAGAAAGCCAAGCCCACAGTTCTAAGGTGCTTCTTCCCAGATGGCACTGCAGATTCTTCCTGATGAGGGTGTCCTAGCCTGGTTTCCCCCAAGCAGGGCCCAAATCAGAGGCTTTTGTGGGATGAGTTCTTTGAGTACATTCCCAGGAAGCTGGGAAGGGGGTAACTGGTCCAAGGAGGCATGCTGGGCTTGCTTCTGCTCAATGTGGTGGGGCCTTATAAGAAGACTCCTGAAAATGAGTCCCAGAACTGCCTGCCTGGGAAAGAAGGGTGCCATTTATTCATCCCCGCTGTGATCCGGGTAACCCATGAAGTGTTTATGCTATGTTGCATTTGGGTGAGCACCAGGTGGGTTCGGGGCCACTCAGGCAGGAAAGCCTGGGGCAGATGAAAGAGGACAGGGAGGAGTCAGAGGTGAGACTGGGACAGTTTGCACCTTCATAAAACAAGCAAAGCTGCATTGGAGCTGGTAGCTCCAGGGCCGACTGGGATAAGAAAGAAGGCCAAGGAGGTCTGCAGTGCTGTCAAGAGGGCATTGGTACAAGTGGCTGGGGAGATGAAACTAGGAGCAGATGAGCAGTTGGTGGGAGTCCAAATTCCAGAACACGTGCAATGTGTCTCTTGCCCTGTGTGCGGTACAAAGGGAGAGGTATAATAGATCACAATCAAAAGATAGAAGATTTCAATCTCCCCAGAAAGTTCTCTGTGCCCTGTTTTAGCTGCCCTCCACCTGCTTTCAGTTCTGGTAGCAATAGTGTTATATGGTCCTCTCCCCACTCTTTTTTCTCTCCCTCTCCCTCCATCTCCTTCCATCATTCTCTCTGTTCCTTCCGTGTGCCCCTTTCTACTCTCCTAAGCTTGCTGGGAGCCTGGTTCACCTGCTGAACTACACACTGGATGCTCTTTGAGAGTAGGAGACACACCATGTTCGCTTTTCCATCTTCTCCCATCCCCTGTGAACATGTATCTCAGATGACAGCCAGTGGCCCCAGCCCCTGAAAATCGGAAAGAGCGTGACTGAAGTCCTCATTTCGTGCCCAAGGGAACCCAAGGCCCTGTAAGATGCAAATTCCTGAGAACTGTCCCCATCCACTTTGGCTTCAGACTGCTGCCTCAGTGGGGTCTGATTTTCCTTTCACTGTGAGTTTCAGTTGTTTCTTTTTCTCTTCCCCACAGTTGACCCAGTTGTAGGGCCTGGAACTTTCTCCGTAATATTCCCATTCTAAAGACACCGCAGGTAGTAGAAAAGTGACAGAAGATTCTTGGGTCACCAGGAGGTGTCTCATTGTGCTCCGAACAGCGATAACATCAAAAACCTTTCACGTTTTATATTTTACTTTGAAAAAGTTCTGCCAGCCTCCATGTCAACTGGTTATTCCTTCCCCACCCTTTTGAGAGATGAACTTCCCCCAACCCCTCTGGGTCCAGGCCATCGCACTCTGGAGCAAACCGGCCAGGCTCTTTCCATTCTGGACCAGCTCTGCAGGACCAAGGCCACCTGTGTTCTCAGTCAACCCAGGGGTCTGGTCTGTAACAGAGTTCATCGTCAGCAAGAGGTACTGGAGCTACAGCTCCCATGGGACCCCAGAACCTCCTCCATGGTTCCCTCAGGATTCTGGAATCTCCATCCTGTTAGGTTTGGCCAGAGGCCTCCCTGCCTCAGGGGCCTTCTCTCTCCAGTGGGAACTGGCGTAGCTTCATCCTGGGATTGGAGTCAGATCTCAAACAAACCGCCTTTCTCAGGGAGACAAGCACCCCAGAATCCACTAATCTCCTTCTCCAGCGGCATCGTGTTGCTCTTTGCGATCTTAATCTCTCCTGGCAGGCCATGCTGGAAAAAGTGCCAGGGGAAACAGGATCTTTCTGGGCAAAACCAGGGCTACCTCCCAGTCCACTCCCTCACACCGCTGGGCGTGCCCTGCTCAGGAAAGAAGCGCTTCCTTACAATGGCGCCTAGCCACAGCCCCACAGTTACAAGCTCACAAGTCCTTGGAGCTCCCTCTAGCTCTCTTTCTTTTCGGCTCCGCCAGCCCAGTGCTGGGCTCTGGGCCCTTGGGGTTCAGTGAATGGTCTCCCAGTTCATGTCCCCTCTGCGTGGTGGAGGATGTGTGGAGAAGAGGGAAGGGAAAGAATTTGGCTTCCAGAGCAGAGGACCTAGGCTTGCCTGCTTTGCCCAAGCAGGGTAGGTCACCGTGTAACTGGCTATGTGACCTTAGACCTCAGTGTGTGCATCTATAACTGGGTATAATATGCCACAATCAAAGGATAGAACAGTTCAATCTTCTCTTTGATTGAAGTTCTCTTGTCTCCCTTTGTACTTGCCCTCCACTTGATTTTGGTTGGGATAGCTGGAGTATCGGATGATGGAACCATACAGATAGATTATTTTATGTCTGGCTCTGGCTTGGCGTGATGTCTATGAGACTCATGTATGTTGTTGGGTAGATCAGTTGTTTGTGCCTTTGTCATGCTGAGGAGTAATCCACTGTATGGATAGACCAGAATTTGTTCATCCATTCACCTGTTGGACACCTGAGCGATTTTTGGCTTTTTTCCAGTTTTTGGCTATTATGAATAAAGCTCCTAGAAACTGCCATGCACAGATTTTTGTGTGAACATAAGTTTTCATTTCTCTAGGGTAAAACCAGGGAGAGCAATGACTGAGTCATAGGTTGAATATGTGTTTCATTTTATATGAAATTGCTGAACTGTTTTCCGAAGTGGCTATACCACTTTGCATTTCCACTAGCAGTATATGAGCATTCCAGTTGCTCCACATCCTCGTCAGCACTTGGTACCGTCTGTCCTGATTTCTTCCTCCTCCTGTCTCTATCTGCAGCCATTCCCTGTGACCCCAGGTCTACCAGTGCTTCTTATCCTCTGAAGCTCTCCTGCTGTCTCCCACGCCTGCTTCTCAGGCCTGGCTGAGGCCTTAGCATGGGTGGGGACTCTGAGGAGGTGCAAAAACTTTCAGGTCACTTTTAATTGAGATCTGACCTGAGATATAAGTTTAAATGTAGCCTTTTAACTCTACAAAGCAAATAGCTTGGGACCTTTTCAGAATCTCTTGGCTCCCTGTCTCAGGGCCAAGAATCTTACTTTGCTCATTTTAATGGTTCCTTTCTAATTATTCAGGTCCATGCTCAAATGTCACCTTTTCAGAGAGGCCTTTCCTGACCTCTGGGAGCAGAGGCAGGCTTTGTGGAGCCTGATGCTTATGTAAGTTTTGAGAGTGGTCTTTAGGAAAAAGAATACACAATTGTGAATAAAAATTTGGTCACAAAGCATTAATCATGGGGACAAGAAGGGACCCAAATGAGCAAGGGGCCCTAAAGCTTAGCTTTATTACGTCGGGGTAAATTCACTTCTGCTGACCTCACTACACGAGTTCCCACTCCCCCACCCCTCTAGTTTAGCCCTGTTCCTTGGTGTCTTCATTTTCACAGCATGTGCAGCTGCCGAGGTCGTATTCTATTTGCTCTCTGTCTGGAGAGCATACTCTATGAGGGTGAGGGCTCATTGGTTCACTGCTACACCCCGGCCCCCAGAATAGTACCTGGTGCATGGTGAGTGCTGGATAATTATTGATTAAACACATGAATAAATGCCTTTTGAGTGTTACTGGTTTTCTATTTGTGGAAGTGAGACTGAGTTTTTAAAGTGAATCAAGTTATAGAAAAATATTAAGCTCATGGTGCATGGTGGTGATGCACAGAAATGGCCGAGGTCACAGTGAAGGAAGTGTGGGGGCTGTGGATGACAGTCTAGGAAGCCGGCATTTGGTGAGTGCATGCTATGGGCCGTACATTTTCTATCCACGGTCTTCTTGAAGACTCTCTCAGCAACCTGTGAGGTGAACATCTCTATCCCCGTTTTGCAGGAAACAGAGGCTCAGGGAAGTGAAGTCACTCAACCAAGTGTCACACCACCGGTAAGTCTGCACCCGGGTTCTCCCTTTCTCTTGCCCTGGCATGACCCTTGAAGTTCCTGAATCCATAGTCCCTAAGGGGACGGTAGAGGTCTAAGAGGGTCAAGTACTCAGAGCTGAATCCTGGGGAAGTTGGGGTTACAGGCATGGAGAAGAGTCATTGCATCACGTTTTCTGATGGGCACCAGAGAGGGAAAAGGAAGGCTCTGTGCTCCTTCACCCACCTCCCCAACAACATCCTTGCTCAGGTCAACTTGAACTAGGCCAGCTTGAAATGAAATCATGTTCATTGTTAAACAAAGGCACAAGGGCCTGGCTTCTGAAGAAGGTGAGCTTTGAGCAGCTTCCAGGACTTGATTTGATTTAGAGAATAGGGAGAGTACCTGGGAGCCCAGAAATCCTTCCTGCATGAGATGCCAGAAATTCCAGCAGTTATAACACCCCTGAGAACCTGGGTGAGCAATTTAACTTGTTTGTGTTAATGTTTTCTCTTGTAGACATGGGCACAAAACCACCCACCTCCCAGGCTGACATGAGGATTAATTAAGGTCATGCACATAAAAGTACTAAACATCTGTGAATTCTCTCTCCTCCCCCACTTTTATTAAAAGTCCTTGAACTATAGGTTTTTGGCTAAAGTCAGCCTGGTAGCCCTTTGCTGCCTTTGCTCGGAACACTCACCTTTGCCTCAAGTTCTGCGTCAGGTGTCATTTTCATCCCAGCATCTTCATTTTAGTCACAACAGCCTTTTATTTAGCACCTACTGTGTGCCAGGCACTGGACACTCATCCTCTCTTCTTCACACCAGCTCTGCAAACTAAACTTTATGACTCCCATTTTGTTGCTGAAGAGAATGAAGCTCCACAGGTAGTAAGCAGTGCAGCTGGAGTGAGGAGCAAAGCTCTTGCTCTATTTTCTAAGCCACTTGCCTCCTCTCCTGTGTTCCTCTCCACTGCCTACTCCAAGCCCAGAGTGCTACATGGCTTGACTTTTACACAATGGAATATTTATTTATTGAACTCTTACTCTGTGTGGGGCAGGGTCCTTCCCAGCACAGGACCGAGGGAGAGGACAGCCTCACTGTTGCCTTCAGGTTGCTCAGAGAGTAGCAGGGAGATAGATGAGTAGTAAGGAGTTTTGGAGGAATGGGGCAAGTGCGGATTAGCAGGAGGGATGCAGTGCTATGGGGCACCTGTTTCTGTCTGGGAGGCAGGGAGTCTAGAATGTGAGCCATCCAAATGGGATTTATCAATATCCTCTCAGTGCTTTGTGTGCATTTGTGTGTGCATGCAAGTGTAAAGTGATGGTGATAAAGATTAATGAGACATCGTTGCTACCTCAACTTATGGTTATGGTTGTGCAGTGCCCCCAGCCATCTCCCTCCATCTCGAATGTCAATTTTCACATCTTTAAAATGGAAGTTTTGACACAAGCATAGGTCTACAGACTGGAACTTGTTGATGGCAATTTGGCATTTTTTAAAATCCATAGGCAAAAAATGTTTATGATGGAAGTGCTTACTTCTGACACATTAATTTGAGAAACCGACTTAAAAATATGCATATGGTTTCAACTTTTTACTATGGAATTTTAAATATATAGATAAAATAGAATAAGATCATGAAGCCCTATGTACCCAGAACCTGGCTTCCTTAGTTATCCACATTATGCCATTCTTGAAGAAGTGGAATCTTGATTAGTTAAATAAATGGATATTTTGCAAAACATTGAATGTAATTCGTGTAATGCCTATTGTTGTTTTTCTCTGATTAAAGAACTAGAAAAGATTTAAAACTATTTACGATGTTTGTTGTAGAAGCTAATATAGACATGCATCTGTTATCTGTCTACAGTAACTTTAAAGGTGCATGGTGGAGAATTCAGATTCTTTGGCTAGAGGGAATCTGGCTAGGGAAACACCCCACTAGTCTGTCTCTTGAAGACCTAACATTCTGTGGTTCTCTTATCTGTAGAGAGAAAAAGCCCATTTATAACTTTTCTAGTCTGGTTTTAAATGTAGTGGCAAAGATTCAGGAATGTGTTTGCTTGGAACTCGTAACCCTTGGAGATTCACTTAGAAAACAAGGACTCGTTGTCTCCTGTTCTGACTCCCAGGACACATTTTAATGAAATGCCCTCAAACCCAAATTGGCTTCAGTCTAACTCACAGCAACCGCAGTACGCTGGGGAAAAAGCAGAAACCGGGCGGGGGGGGGGGGGGGGGCGCAGAAAATGTGGCTTTGAACCTCAGCTCTGTACCCATTAGCTGTGTGGTCTTGAGAAAGTTGCTTTCCCTTTCTGAGCCTCCATTGCCTCATCTGTAAATGGCTTTTCACCTGGGCCTTCTCTGTGGATTCTTCCAGCTCTGGGTGCCTGTGGTCTGTGGCCAAGTGCAAGGAAGGAGTGTTAAACACCATGCAAGACACGGTAGATATGTGTACTTGTTCATTTATTCTTCAGGAGATGATATGCTAGAGGGCTTCGATGTACTTTAGAAAGGTCAACAGTTTTCTCTGAGTTTATTAGATGCTCTGCACTTAACAAGTGTGAGCCAGATGTCAACGGGGAGCACTTAAGGTCTACCAGAATGACTTGAGCCCCCATTCCAAAGCCCCCCTCACTCCTGCAAAGATTGCTATGAGTCCCTGAGGGGCCCTATGTTCTCGAGGTGCAAATCCAGTAACCCTCTTTCTCTCTTCACACGGCCCAGAAGTGAAATCAGTCCATTGCTGCTCCACCCCCAAGAGACCCACATACATGAAGATCTGGGAGCATGACAGACTTCCCTTTGGGAGCCAGCCACAATGAGCATCACCCCACACGTAATTTAGAATCATGCAGCAGCCTTCCTTGTTTTAAAATGTTGACTCAGCTCTTTGCCCTCCGCACCGCCTAACCTTTCCCTACCTTTCTGGTTTCCTTCTTTCCTCCTTTTGTTTTTGGATGCCCTCTCCTTCTCTCCCTTGAATGTCCAAATACATTTCATTCTATTTTGCAGAGCATTTCAGCATTGCTCCAACCTGCAAGTGCACACACTCAAACCTGTCAAGGTGCTCACCAGGCAAAAAGCTTTCCACTTAATAGGATCAGCCTTCCAGAGAAAGGACTTGTCACAGATTTTAAAAAAAAGAGTTACCCAAGAATATAGCCCTAAAACCATTTGGGTAGGGTTCAGGGGTAATGATACTACTTCTGGTTTATGTCCACAAGATCTGGCCTTATGCTATGAGAGCATCCTGCAGCATTCAACATGACTGTTTCTTCCCTGGCAGCTACCCGCACGTGCCCTCCTGGTTCTCCCCTTTCCTCTGCAATGGCACCTTCTCTGCCTCCTCATCTTTGGACCTCTGGACTGCCTGTGTGGGAGTGAAGGAGAACTCAGGAGTTTGTCTTTGAGCATCCGTGCAATTGGCTTCTCCTGGGGGCCAGAGCTGGGCATGCTTCACTCTTCCTGATGCTCTCACACAATGTATCTTTAGGCTTAATTGGTGAGTCTTTAGAGCTGGTGCCAGAAACTGAACTTGATGAGGGATGCAGAGAATGGAAGTCAAGAAGCAGTCATAGAAAGTGATGCAGTTTGACAAGGCTGGGAAGGGGCAGTTGCACCTGGGAGAGAGAAGCAGCCTCCTACCCATGTCCAAAACTCTCCAATGTGTGCTGGTCTACATGAAGAGCTGGAAAGAATGGTCTGTGCTGTTGCACAGGGGTGGACTTTGGCTCTGAGTGGGAAGTGACTTGCCTTGGTTCCCACACCGAAGAAAACCTGGTCTTGTGCCTCGAGATGTGGCTGGAGGATTGCTGGAGAAAACAAAAGAATAGGAGAGTGGGGAGTGGGGTGTGGGTGTGTGTAAATTTCTTCACAGAGATTTGTGAGCTGAGCCTTGAAAGATGAATGCGGACACTTGCCAGGCTGATCCACTTTGATAGGTGAATAAGTCTGGGTGGGACGGGGCTGCGGAGAGAAAAACTCACTCCAGGCCAAGAGAGCAAGTCACACAATCAAGGCCTGGAGGCTGAACAGCTGGCATGTCTGGTGAACCACAGACAGTCCTGTGAGGCTGGATTGGAAGGGTTGTTGGGTGAAAGATGAGGCTTTTTAAGCTCTGCTGAGACATTTGGGCTCTGTCTTGTAGGTCTCAGAGAGTCATGGGAGAGTTCTAAGTAGGCAGGTGACATTGTCAGACGCATGTCTTGGAAAGATGCCTTTGGCTGCTGGGTGACTTCCAGGGCCCGATGTGGAGCAGGGAGCCCAGTTATGCCTCTGTTGCATCATCTAAGCAAAAATTATGGCAGGGCCTTGGCATAGAGGGAATGCAAAGGAACAAATAGACATCAGGGAGGTAGAATTTGTAAAGTGTAGTGGATAAATGTGAGAAGTAATATTATACATCTGGTTCATTTTAACTGCTGCATTATATTCTATTGGGTGAATGAATCACATTTTAGATTTTCATTCTCTTAGTGATAGTTATTTCCACTTCCTCACTATTACAAACAGGACTTGGATGAACACCTTTGTACTGTGCACATGTGATAAACTGTCTTTAGGGTGGTTATTTATAATTGGTTTTTCTGAGTTGAGAGGTTTGCACATCTTTAAATCTACAGTATATTCTCAAATTCCTCCTTAAAGTGGTTGTACCAATACACCCTCCCATCAAGTAGAGGCACTCCCTTTCCCTGTTTCTTTTAAGTTTGTTATCAGACTTGCAAGATTTTTCCAATCCGATTGGTGTGAAATGGAATCTTTCTGTTGCTTCAATTTGTTTCCCTGACTATTGGTGACATTAAGCTTATATTAATATATGTCACTATTTTCTTCTGTAAATTGCCTGTTCATACGTTTTGCACAATTCTCTGTTGGATTGTTTGTCTTTTTCTTACTGATTTGTTGAAGTTCTTTATATATTCAAAATACTAATCCTTTGTTGGTAAAATACCTTTTTTCAATCAGTGACTTTTCTATTTCATTTATGAAAGATTTTGTTAGGCAGAAATTTTAAATTTTAATATATTCTAAAATTTCAAAAATTTCCTTTATAGTTTGTAGTTATTGTATTTTGATGAAATTATGCTGAAATATTCTTCTGTATTTCTAATATTTATTTCTTCTCTAAAAATTTAAAAGCTTTGATTTTTCACATTTGTATCTTTAATCTCCTTGAATTGTGTGTGTGTGTGCCATGTGATGAAAAGGCCTAATTTTACCTTTTTCTTAAGTGGTTAGCCAGTTTTCCAGTACTTTTTATAGAATAATTCCTTTCTTCATTCATTATTTACAGAAAAATTCATTATACTGATTTGTAATTCCATGTCTGTTATATATTGCCTATGTTTATGGGTTTATTTCTGGGCTTTATGTTTCATTCCATAGTATATTTGTCTATTCTTAGAGCAATATCACGTTGTTTTAATTACAATAACTTTATAATAATTTATTTTATCTGGCAAGATAAGTCTCTCACAACAAAAAAAGAGAATTTTAGACCAATATCCCTGATGAACATCGATGCAAAAATCCTCAATAAAATACTGGCAAACCGGATTCAGCAGCACATCAAAAAGCTTATCCACCATGATCAAGTGGGCTTCATCCCTGGGATGCAAGGCTGGTTCAACATTCGCAAATCAATAAACATAATCCAGCATATAAACAGAACCAAAGACAAGAACCACATCATTATCTCAATAGATGCAGAAAAGGCTTTTGACAAAATTCAACAGCCCTTCATGCTAAAAACGCTCAATAAATTCGGTACCTCAAAATCATAAGAGCTATTTATGACAAACCCACAGCCAATATCATACTGAATGGGCAAAAACTGGAAAAATTCCCTTTGAAAACTGGCACAAGACAGGGATGCCCTCTCTCACCACTCCTATTCAACATAGTGTTGGAAGTTCTGGCTAGGGCAATCAGGCAAGAGAAAGAAATCAAGGGGATTCAGTTAGGAAAAGAAGAAGTCAAATTGTCCCTGTTTGCAGACGACATGATTGTATATTTAGAAAACCCCATTGTCTCAGCCCAAAATCTCCTTAAGCTGATCAGCAACTTCAGCAAAGTCTCAGGATACAAAATTAATGTGCAAAAATCACAAGCATTCTTATACACCAGTGACAGTCAAACAGAGAGCCAAATCAGGAATGAACTTCCATTCACAATTGCTTCAAAGAGAATAAAATACCTAGGAATCCAACTTACAAGGGATGTAAAGGACCTCTTCAAGGAGAACTACAAACCACTGCTCAGTGAAATCAAAGAGGACACAAACAAATGGAAGAACATACCATGCTCATGGATAGGAAGAATCAATATCGTGAAAATGGCCATACTGCCCAAGGTAATTTATAGATTCAATGCCATCCCCATCAAGCTACCAATGAGCTTCTTCACAGAATTGGAAAAAACTGCTTTAAAGTTCATATGGAACCAAAAAAGAGCCCGCATCTCCAAGACAATCCTAAGTCAAAAGAACAAAGCTGGAGGCATCATGCTACCTGACTTCAAACTATACTACAAGGCTACAGTAACCAAAACAGCATGGTACTGGTACCAAAACAGAGATATAGACCAATGGAACAGAACAGAGTCCTCAGAAATAATACCACACATCTACAGCCATCTGATCTTTGACAAACCTGAGAGAAACAAGAAATGGGGAAAGGATTCCCTATTTAATAAATGGTGCTGGGAAAACTGGCTAGCCATAAGTAGAAAGCTGAAACTGGATCCTTTCCTTACTCCTTATACGAAAATTAATTCAAGATGGATTAGAGACTTAAATGTTAGACCTAATACCATAAAAATCCTAGAGGAAAACCTAGGTAGTACCATTCAGGACATAGGCATGGGCAAAGACTTCATGTCTAAAACACCAAAAGCAACGGCAGCAAAAGCCAAAATTGACAAATGGGATCTCATCAAACTAAAGAGCTTCTGCACAGCAAAAGAAACTACCATCAGAGTGAGCAGGCAACCTACAGAATGGGAGAAAATTTTTGCAATCTACTCATCTGACAAAGGGCTAATATCCAGAACCTACAAAGAACTCAAACAAATTTACAAGAAAAAAACAAACAACCCCATCCAAAAGTGGGCAAAGGATATGAACAGACATTTCTCAAAAGAAGACATTCATACAGCCAACAGACACATGAAAAAATGCTCATCATCACTGGCCATCAGAGAAATGCAAATCAAAACCACAATGAGATACCATCTCACACCAGTTAGAATGGCAATCATTAAAAAGTCAGGAAACAACAGGTGCTGGAGAGGATGTGGAGAAATAGGAACACTTTTACACTGTTGGTGGGATTGTAAACTAGTTCAACCATTATGGAAAACAGTATGGCGATTCCTCAAGGATCTAGAACTAGATGTACCATATGACCCAGCCATCCCATTACTGGGTATATACCCAAAGGATTATAAATTATGCTGCTATAAAGACACATGCACACGTATGTTTATTGCAGCACTATTCACAATAGCAAAGACTTGGAATCAACCCAAATGTCCATCAGTGACAGATTGGATTAAGAAAATGTGGCACATATACACCATGGAATACTATGCAGCCATAAAAAAGGATGAGTTTGTGTCCTTTGTAGGGACATGGATGCAGCTGGAAACCATCATTCTTAGTAAACTATCACAAGAACAGAAAACCAAACACCGCATGTTCTCACTCGTAGGTGGGAACTGAACAATGAGATCACTTGGACTCGGGAAGGGGAACATCACACACCGGGGCCTATCATGGGGAGGGGGGAGGGGGGAGGGATTGCATTGGGAGTTATACCTGATGTAAATGACGAGTTGATGGGTGCAGCACACCAACATGGCACAAGTATACATATGTAGCAAACCTGCACGTTGTGCACATGTACCCTACAACTTGAAGTTTAATAATAATAAATAAAAAAAAAAAAAAAAAAAAGAATTAGCATTATAAAGCAAAAAAAAAAAAAAAAAAAAAAGATAAGTCTCTCAATTTTGGTACTTTTGTTTCAAAGTTGCCTAGGCTATTCTTAGCCCTCTTTACTTCCATATTAATTTTAAGATCATTTAATCAAGTCCTGTGAAAAAAATTCTTTGGGATTTAAGTGGGAATGACATTAAATTTGCAGCCATAGTTTGGCGGAAATTGCTGTTTTTAAGATATGGAGTCTTTCCATCTGTAGACATGGTATACCACTCCATTATTTAAGTCTTCTTCAATACCCTTAAATATAGTTTTATATTTTTCTTGCTATAAAGGTCTTGAGAGCTTTTTATTAGCTTTAATTCTAGAAAACATGATTTCTCATTTTAAAGAAAATATGTCTAATGTTTTTTTTTTTTTTTTTTTTTTTTTTTTGCCGTCAATAAGAAATTTACTTGTTTTAAAAAAATCCAAATGCTGGCATTGTCCAGAAAAATTTAACAGGTTTATTTATAATTATTATAAAGTTGAACCGCTGAAACTTGTTCACTGAAACATTTTAACTTGCATTAATGCTTTACGCCTCTGCATTTATATTAAAAATTCACACACAAATGAAAATGGAAAAACTGCCAATACCTGATTTCTGTCCCCTATTTTTCCACTCGCAATCATATACTTAGGTACCTTTTGACCCCATGGAAAAAAAATATCTAACGTTCAGAACTACCAATAACAGGAAGAAGAGAATTTTTTTTTTTTCTGAGAATGAAATGTTTCCCATCATAGCGGATTCTTAAGCACGTTCTCCACGTATGCGGCGTGCTAGCTGGATGTCTTTTGGCATAATTGTTACACGTTTGGCATGGATAGCACACAGGTTGGTGTCTTCAAAAAGGCCAACCAGATAGGCCTCACTTGCCTCCTGCAAAGCACCAATAGCTGCGCTCTGGAAGCGCAGATCTGTTTTAAAATCCTGAGCAATTTCTCGCACCAGACGCTGGAAGGGAAGTTTGCGAATCAGAAGTTCAGTGGACTTCTGATAACGTCTAATTTCACGGAGTGCCACAGTACCAGGCCTGTAACGATGAGGTTTCTTCACCCCTCCAGTAGAGGGCGCACTCTTGCGAGCGGCTTTTGTAGCCAGTTGCTTCCTGGGTGCTTTACCACCGGTCGATTTGCGGGCAGTCTGCTTTGTACGAGCCATGGTACAGAGACCTCCTTACTTACCCCCCTTCTCCTTCGGCTGGAGCTCGGCGAGCGAGAGGCGGCGCTGGCGTTAGAGAGCGACGGCGGCGCCATGTCTAATGTTTTACCACTGAGTACAGTGTTTTCTACATATTTTCAAAGATGTCCTTAATCAGATTAAGGAAGGTTCCACTTTCCCAAATTCTCTATGAGGTTTTTCTCTTTTTTTTTTTTTTTTTTGGCTTTTGTTTTTAACATGAAGCTTTGAATTAAAATATATATTTAAATTTTATCAAAATGTTTCTAAAGTATAGTTTTTAAATTTGTTAATTGATAATTATGTTAATCATTTTTCTAAAGTTAAACTCTCCTTGCGTTTCTGAGGTGTTACTTGGATAGATAGATAGATAATAGGTAGAGAGACAGCTAGATAGGTGATAGATAGCTAGATAGGTGATAGGCAGATAGATAGCTAGATATGTGATAGGTAGATAGCTAGATATGTGATAGAAAGGTAGATAGCTAGATAAATGATAGATAAATAGAATCATGGATAGATTATCATGTTCAATCTGCAGGCCTCTGTCTCAGGGAGAGGGGAGTCGTAAGGGAAAGGGCACAGTTTTAAAAGACAGCTCTCTAAACTCAATGGATGTCTAGCGCTGGCTTTCTCTGCTTGGCATTTCATGGATTTCTCTGAGCCCTGCCCACCCCATGGGGAACTTCCAGCTGCAATGCCTCTGGCATGGTGATGTCATGACTCCAGCTAACCATCTGGCCTTCTCTGTCAGACCCTGTCTGTTTGCTCCCATTCCTCAGAGGGCAGACTCCTTATCCTCTTCCCTCTTGCCCTTTGATAAGCTCATATGTCCTTTTCCACTATCAGTAAGACAGCACTTTCTCCCTCCTGTCCACTCTACTGTGAGGCAGGTCCCATCACTGTGATTTGCCTTTAGATTTTTCAGGTATGCCATAGAGACTCCCCAGTTCTGAGGATTCATCAAGTTCCCTAAGTGGGCCTCTTCAAGCCCCTCTCACTTGGTTTGAGCACCTGCCTACACTCCCATCTTCAAAGGTATCTTTCCTTCTTCCAGTTCTCTCCAATTTGTGTCCTTTCAGCAGCTGGGCCCGGGGATGGTCAATACTGGCAGAACTGGTTTCCAAAGCCTTAGCCTGTCCTGTGGAGGCAAGGCAGTTTGGCATCTTGTTTAGGAATGGGAAACATTTGGTAGCTTGTTCTTGGTCTCCAGAGTTTCAGCTAAAGCTAAGATGGAGGTAGTCCCATTTTAATATCCTGCTACACATTTTTCTAGACCATTACTTATTTTGTCTGTTTTCAAATTTATTGGCATACGGTTGTCCATAGTATTCTCTTGGGAGTTAAAAAATATCTACCGTATCTCCAGTTATATTGTCTTTATCATTCTGAATAGATGTGCCTTTTTTTTTTTTTTTTTTTTGAGACAGAGTCTTGCTCTGTTGCCCAGGCTGGAGTGTAGTGGCACGATCTTGGCTCACCACAACCTCCGCCTCCCAGGTTCAAGTGATTCTCCTGCCTTAGCCTCCCAAGTAGCTGGGATTACAGGCGTGTACCACAATGCCCGGTTAATATTTGTATTTTTAGTAGGGACGAGGCTTCACTGTGTTGGCCAGGATGATCTTGAACTCCTCACCTCATGATCTGCCCGCCTTTACCTCCCAAAGTGCTGGGATTACAGTCATGAGCCACCGCACCCAGCCATATGGGCCTTTTCTATTTCTTTTTGATTGAACTTGCCAGGGCTTTGATTGTTACTGTTTTCAGAGAACATTAAAAATTCTCTTTGGTTTCTTTGTATTCTAATTAATTAAATTTTCCTTCTTCTTTTTTTATTCTCTGTCGAATAAATCATACATACAAAAGAGTGCATGAAAAATATCTGTGTGCATTACAAATAATAATAAAATGAACAAGCATGTATCCATGGCTGAGTTTAAGAAGTTGAGAGCCAGGATGTTGGAAGCCTCAAATGCATCTCCCTTCTCACCCCAGTGCAGCCACTGTCTTGTCTGTTGTGTTAGCCATACCTTTACTTGTTAGAAACATGTTTCACTTGTGTATGTATTGCTAAACAATAGTCCAGTTTAGCATTTTTAAAAAAGAATCCCAGGTGACCAAAGTGCAATTAATCAAAATCCTTACTTCATGGCATAATCTCATAGTTGACCTATAAACTTCTCTCTCCTCCCTTCCCTTCTTACTTCTATCCGTTTTTGTTCCCTTTCATGTTCCTTCTTTTAATGTGATAAATACCTGCGAATCTGGCATCTAACAAAAACCAGTCCCTTCTTAATAGCACATATTAAACTATAAGATGACTTTCTCCATCTGTGTAACTATCATCCTGAATTCTGTGATATATTTTCTCAAAAAGCCTTTTTTTTTTTTTTTTTTTTTTTTTTTTTTTGAGACAGAGTTGTACTGTCACCCAGGCTGGAGTGCAGTGGTACGATCTCAGCTCACTGCAACCTCCACCTGCCAGGTTCAGGTGATTCTCCTGTCTCAACCTCCCGAGTAGCTGGGATTAAAGGCATGCACCACCACACCCAGGTAATTTTTGTATTTTTAGTAGAGACGGGTTTTCACCATATTAGTCAGGCTGGTCTCGAACTCCTGACCTCAGGTCATCCACCTGCCTCGGCCTCCCAAAATGCTGGGAGTACAAGTGTGAGCCACTGGATCTAGCCACAAAAAGCATTTTTTAAATTTTAGTTTTTTAAACTTTATTAAGAAGATATGCTCTATGTCATCTTTGGAAATTTCTTTTTTCTTAATATTATCAAATATATATTCATATTGTCAAGTTTACTATAATTAACTTTTTATTGTAGTAAATATGCATAACATAAAATTTGCCATTTTGACCATTTTTAAGTGTACAATTATGTGGCATTAAGTACATTCACGTTCTTGTGCTACCATCACCACCATCCATTTCAGAACTTTTTTCATCTTCTCAAACAGAAACTCCAATCAACGTGTTTTGACTGTCGTACATGGTGAGAACACACCACAGTTTATTTATTCTCCTGCTGATGAACAATAATTGGTGTTTCCAGGGTTTCGCTATTGTGAACTGTGCTGCCGTGATTATTCTGGTAATGTCTACTGCTGAACATGTGTTCATTGTTGAGTTTTAGATATCTAAATGTTCAGCTTTAGGAGATAAAGTCACACAGTTTTACAAAGTGATTGTACCAACTGACACTCCCACCTGCGATGTGAAAGAGACGCCATGAATCCACATCCTCACCGACACTTGGCTGTGACTGCTTGAAATGCTGCCAAATGCATGTAGGATGGCGTCTCTTAGTGGCCTTGACTTGCATTGCTCTGATTCCTGGGGAGGTTAAACATCTTTTCATATGTTTATTGGCTTTGTGTGTTTTTTTCTTCTGCAACTTACCATTTAATGTCTTTGTCCATTTTTTTTTCTCTTGCATTGTTTGTGCTTTTCCTAACAAGTTGTGAGTTCTTTCTATGTTGCTCATTCTAATCTTTTGGCATTTGTATGCATCACAAATAGATTTCTCCAGTCTGTAACTTGTATTTTTTATTTTTCAAAGTGTATTTTGATAAAGAAAAGTTCTTCACTTTAACATAATTCTCAATATTTTTAAATAATGTATTTTGATGTCTTGTTTAAGAAATATTTTTCTCATCAATGGTGAAAATATAGTCCCCCTTCCCCTTCCCCCTCCCCTTCCCCTTCCCTCTCCCCTTCCCCTCCCCCTTCCCTTCCCTTTCCTTTCCTTCCTTCTTTTTTTTTTTTTTGAGACACAGTCTTGCTTTGTTGCCCAGGCAAACTCCTGGGCTTAAACAATTCTCCTGCCTCAGCCTCCCAAGCATCTGGGACTACAAGTGTGTACCACCATACCTGGCTATTTTTTTTTTTTTTTTTAATGTTTAGTAAAGACTGGGTCTCATTATGGTACGTAGGCTGATCTCGATCTCCTGGCCTCAAGTAACCCTCTGGCCTTGGCCTCCAAAAGTGCTAGGATTACAGGCGTGATTTCCAGTGTCAATGATGCTGTCTTCTGTTGCACCCTGGGATTCCACATGCAAAGTCTCCTAATTTCTTCCCCTTATTGGCAAGGGTCTACTATGGCATATTCCCTCCAGTGGGACATGGAAGAGCCAGCACTTGCTTCTCCCCGTCCCATTCCCCAGGGGAAAGGGGGCCTAGTCTCACTGGAGCAGGCGCTACAGAAGGGTCCTTAGCAGGCATTCTGGTGAGGAGACAAGACAGAATCAGCCCCCTGGGCTGCACCCCAGCACTGTGCAGCTCTGGGGCACCTTCCACACAGACTGTAGCACCAAATGGCACCACAGGAGTTGTGCGACACAGCAGCCCTCTTATTGACCTTTCGTTTGGGTGTCTCGGCCTATTTCAAGCCCTTACTCAGCTTGAAATAATATGCAATTGGAATATGCCTGTTTCTTAAAGTAGAATAAATGAGAGAGTGTGAATAACCAGAAACCATCCCATCTCTACTTCCTGCCTGTGCCTTGTGCCATTGCCTGGTGGGTTTCAAAAGAAGTAAAGCCATGAGCACCTTTGTTCAAACCAAACTCTAGCTGGAATAGAAATCAGTCTTGGCCCCTGGAGTCCTCTCCAGAGAATGCTTACAGCTCCAACAAGCATAGTTGGAGGGCCACTGCAGCAACCCTGCTGGCCCCATGCACTCTCCCTACCTCCTCACGGCCTTACTAGGAGGACCGCAAACCCTCTTGTCCTTTCCCCTGCAGATGGTTAACCAAGAAATGGGCCTTGGCCAAGGCCTTTTCACCTATATGTAACAGGATTCTACTCAAACTGGCTTCAGCAAAAAAGGCGAGTTTATTGGAAAAACAGAGGGGTGGGTTACAGCACACAAGGACTTCACAAGGCCCAGAGCCAAGTGAACCCAGGCAGCCTCTATCTGTGACTCTGTCTCTGTGTCTCTGTTTCTGTCTCTCTGTCTCTGTCTCCCTCTGACTCAGGCTTTCTCTCTCACATTTGGACCATCTGACCCCATCAACATGAGGCCCCAGGTACAACTTAAATAAATGTTGCTGGCTGCTGGGGGCAGATCCCATCTCAAAGAT